GATCCCGGTATACCAGTACCTAAATCTACAAGGCTTGACCGTAGCAAGCGTTCAGCAACACGTTCCAACACCGCCATCTCGATTCCTCAGTCAGTCGTTTCAATTGAACTTAAAGCAGTAGTGACAACAGAGTAGAATGCGTCTTACAAAGGAAAAAAACTTGTACAAGAGACAGAAGTAACTATATGCGATTACAGAGGTGCGTTGGAACTCTGGTCCACAAATAGTTATGCACTGTCCGAAGTATAAAACAATTTTGTTGATAGCTGACAGACAGAGAAGAACAACAAGTAAACTTTAGAGCTGTTATTATTGAAGTGTGACTTGCACTTTTCATTTTTATATAAAGAAGGACTTGAATTTTGCACCAAAAATAAAAAGATGTAATATTTTTGGGAGATCCAGTGATTGGGACATTTAAGAAATTAAGTTATGAAAGGAAACTTGGTTGGTACTTCTCACTACTAACAAGTCTTGTTGACAAATATTTTCAGATCAGAGTTTAAAATAAAGTAAATTGAAGACGTCATTTAAAAGGTATTTTTTCTCAATGGGAACATTGACTACCTCTGTCTTGTCTGCATGCCAAATGTTTGCAAAGTGTGTGGATGATCCACAAGTATTGGAACTCTTACAAAAATGTTTTGTAAGAATAAAAACAGCAAAACAAATTACAGCAATTAGTCACGAAAACAGAGCAAAAAACTGAAAAAAAAAACAGCAACAACAATCATGAAAAAAGAAAGATCAATTAGGTGTTGAATTTGTTTGTCTATGGCATGAAATTTCTACTACAAATATTGTCAACAAAAAGTCTCTGACAGTGTTTGAGGCAACTGAGCTTGACTGTTCCAAGGTTTTCTAACAAAGGCAACCAGTAATGTAGGTTAGGGAAGTAACTTATATTCACAACTAACAAAGTTCTTTAAGTGTAGATAACAATGTAATTATTGTTAATTATTGAGGAAGTTGTGTACCATGGAACAGCTAATGAATGTTTGATGATTTTGGCACATCAGTGAACATGAGACATTAATTTGCATCACAATAAAAATATTTTTTGATCATGGAATCCAAGAGTCCTTTGAGGTTAGAAAGCAAATCTGTGATATGAGTACATTGGATTAATTGGCAATTTCCATTTAACATAACTGACAGCTGGTTCATGAGAAAATCCATATTAATGTAAAGATTTACTAAAACTTAGTTTGAATAATAAATTTCATGATCTTTAAGTTATAAACATATACATGTGTGTATATCTCTTGGTAAGTTTTGTATAGCACACCTTTTATTGAGCCAAAGTTTTAAGCCTCTGAAATTACTCCTTTTCTTAAAACCTCCACATTCAAGGTATTGAGAATTTCCTAGAATTTATGTGGACCTCAGGGTATTAAAATTGCCTCAAATTAAATTCCCAGAAATTCCCAAGAGTTCCACACTTCTTACATTATAGGTAGTTTGTAAAGCTAAGAATTCCTAGGAATTCCTAGGGATTCCAAGTCCTCACACAACTGGAGTCTTCCTTTCCCAGAAATTCCCAGTAGTTCCAAGCTTTTTAAATCAGAGTTAATTTGCATAGTTGGGAATTTTTGAGAATTCCAAGGAATTCCTAGGAATTCCCAGAAAACTAGGAATTCAGTTTGTTAGGGTCATTTGCATAATTGGGAATGTTTGAGAATTCCTAGGAATTCCCAGAAAACTGGGAATTCAGTTCGCAAGGGTTGAACTGCAAATATATCCATCATTTTAGAAAAATGGCTCCTAACTGATTCCCCATGATGATAGTTTATCTCTGCCTTAAGATCTTTATTTAGAACATCACTTACACGTGTTTGCCAGAAAAAAATCATTTATTATCTTTTTCAGAAATACAACAAAAAGCTCTAGCAGAGGTAGGTGTGGGCACGATGTACAGTTAAAATTAGAATTTAAACTGACAGTGCAATTTGAACATTGGAAGATTTAAGAGGGACAGAAGGAGGTGACAGTTCAACCCTTTTGGAAGAGTGCCTATCACCCAACTAAATTCTTTTAAGTGGGTATTTTTGTCCTGTGGGTTGGGAGAAGACTACATTCTCATCAGGTCTCCCTTAATTTTCTGAATTCACCCATGACAAGAACACTTGAGGAGGGTGATAAAAAAATAGGGGGAAAGGATGATGAACGACATAAACTTGAGCTAAAAACCACAGAAGATTTTTTGTACAAGAAACATGTAGAGATTGAAAGGCACCATAATTGTATGGCATGTCTTAAACTCAGGTTCATGTGCCTGGGACAAAAGTGAATTGAAAAGCTCCAAGATTTTTCTTCACATTTTCCTTGATGCGACACATGCACATGTACTCCGTGTTATCTTCCAGGAAGCAAGAATGCCTCCTGACATCCCTCTGCCATCAAACATCCCTCTTTTGCATGCAGGTATGGCACACAAATCCTCTCTTTTTATCCCTCATCATACTCTCTGTAAAGGAAGATTCTAAGTTTTTGAAATGAGTTTGTGGTTAAGATAAAAGAGAAATTTTTTTGGTTACTCATGTTATGTCCACACTGTTGGGTAGTATGTGCCCATATCACTTTCTTGTTCCTTAAAAGTGGGGGGAAATGTTCTGTTTATCCAATAAATGGCTCTGTGCGATCTATTTGTGGGGGGCACACTGATTTGTTTTCTAAGTCATCTCTGAAGCACTGAATAACTCTCAACTTGTTCACAACTGTTAGGAATGTTAATGCCAAGTGACATCCCTCTTTTTGGACCATTACCTGGACAACTGTGAGTAGCTGATCATTGTGCAATTTTATGCAGTGTACATGTACCTATTGAAAATTTATTTTGTGATCTGTTATGAAGAAGTTTTCTTGTAGTGGTTATCATACTTTTCAGATACTAGTAAGGTATGTAGAAGTCAAACAGGGTTTTATAACCAAACCTCTGAACAAAGAGGTCTTTGCTAACCCTATTCAATACTTAAAACAAATGTAAGCTAATCCTTGACAAACGCACTAGAAGTTACAATTACCCAATACCCACAGTACAATTACTGGCAAACAAATCTTTGCAGCTGTGAATCACATGCTAAAAGATTTTAATGAGTTTTTTTAGATTCCCTACCAATGAAACATCCTTGTTTTCTTACGTTCTTTAGGCCCCTCCATCCGGGTTTGATCCCCCCGGTCCTCCTCCTGGACCTCCACCAAAACGCTCCTCAGGAATGATCCCGCCTGGTCCCCCACCAGGTATCCCACCAGTGAGTGCTCCCCCACCCCTCCCCCCTGGAGTAGCACTTGAGGACATGGAAAGTAGTTATTGATGATAATGACAGTGAAAGGAGCGCCAGTGAATAAAGAGGTGAGGAAGAGGAGTATGATCCTGCAGTTCCTCTTGGTAGATTGGAGGGAGATGCTGGAGATGGCCAACCACTTGGAGACAGAAGAAACAGCAGAGATGATGACATTGATGACAGTGAAGGAGATAAATGTTTTTGACAATATTTTGTAGAAACAAAGACTAAACTTAGAGCCCAGGCTTCTAATGCAACAGCCAATGCCAATGCCACCTGTGAGACCTGGCATGCCAAGACCCCCTGGCCCTCCTCCTGGTATGATGCCCCCTCTCCCACATGGAGCAGTTTTATCTGCACCCCCAACTTTTATAAGCAAACCTCCTATGGCCAACCCAGCTAGAGAAGTTGGAAAAGGTACATTTTATTTTTAACATAGGTTGGAATAAATCCATTGTTTTTACGGCCTTTTTTCAACAGCATAACATGCGACCAGTTTCAGAGGTGACACTGACAAGAAAGTGAATGTTACGTTCAAGATTCTAGAAGATATTTTGAATAAGCTATTCGGTCTTAAGAGTAATTGATGTTGTAGTATATAATATGAAGTCGATGGTATGGGACGATAGTGTGTCGCCATTCCAGTGAAAGCTTAAATGTCTAATTTCATGTGATGTCCTTGCAGGTCATCGTGTAATTGCCGTGAGGACATTGTAATTTACAACATGTTCAGAAGTAGACGATACTCTGACTCTCGTGATGCTTCTCAGTGATATTTAAATTTGGTATTGTCTGTTTTGCCCAGCAAAAACGAGTGACTGCTAATGTTCATTTTTAGTCATGGAAAAATTAAAACCCTATCTTACAGTCCCGTATTTTTTTTTTTAAAAGGTGCAACGATCAGCAAAGAAGCAACAGCAACGATCAGGTGATCGAACAGAGAAGAACTAACAGGAAGAACTAACAAAACTAGTGCCCACTGCTCTACGAGTCAAACGAGAACAACCGAAGAGTTCTGAAAGAGTAAAGTTAAACTTCGGCCATCTGGAGCCGTCCCAGAGACTGTTGAGAGTATACCGCAGCAAGTTTCACAACCAAAGGTTGCTGAAACCGGCACTAAAGACGATGCGTATGCGCTTTTTATGAAAGAAATGCAGGGACTTTTGTAAATGTATTGAGAGGTTTTAAATTTGTCCCATCGATGTAGCCTTTCGTAAAGGTTCGTGCTCTTTTCAAGATATGTGCATGCACGCGAAGGGTGTATTTTTTGTTTGTTTTTTTTTTTTACCACTGATTCAGTAAAGAGTACCAGATGCAAGAATATTTATAGAATATTTTCTCGCTTTTCTAACCATTTTCAAATTAAGCTTTTTGTTATCTGCTAAGTAACCAGTGCCATACTCCAAAACTTTACGATATACATTGGAACTGCACTGGAACCCTCGAGGTTAGGGAGAGTGCTCCCTTTAATACAGGTCTCCCCCCCCTAATAAAGAGGCAAAGATACCTAGTCGGGGCGGGGGGGGAGGGGGAAATGAATTATGTATCCCGCTGAATAGGGCTGCTCTACGAGAAAGGTTCCATTGTTCTACTGAAATCACTACTGTTCACATTATTTCTTTGGATGTCCCAGCGTTGTAAAGCCACAAAGTTTAACATAACATATCCTTTTAATCTGTCTACCAAGGAGATACAAAAGTGCTAAACAATCTTGGTTTAATAACTTTATTGCTGCTTTTGAACTCTATGATTTTCTGGATACGCTGCTATTTCAACAAATCAAACGCTATCCTAAAGCACTGAAGATGCTTTGGAAACTCCAACACCAAATTTTCAGACCAAATATGATTTGACTCGTGTCCTACAAAATTGGCTATTCTCTTTTCCCTACCTATCAAGAAAATAAAAATAAAAGTGAAATAAAACGGAAATTTTTCAGCTAACGTCCGTTGTTTTGCATGTGCAAACTATTTGTTAGCCATACAGGACAATAACGTACCAACTAACCTTCTGAAATATGACGAGTCTTCGTCTGAAACTATAGAGACTAGACATAGTTTGTCACTTAAATCGTAACGGTTGCTATTATCAACGACTTGAAACTACAAAGAAAATGTTACTCTTAACTAAGTTAGTCAACTTTCCGATACAGTCGTAGAAGATACATGCCAAGAAATTTTCTGCCCAAAATCGAACTTTAATTATGAGAATGGAGTTCTGCCAAACTGTAACTCCTTAAACTTTCCTTTTAACAGTATACGGTTAATTGTTTTAAGCTGCAAGAGGAACACTTTTGACTCTAAAGTGACCAAAGTCCTAAATTGTTCGAATGAGCATAAAATTGGAATGGCTTCATGCTAAAATAACAGTAGATGTTGCTGTTTTGCCTAGGTGCGCTGCAGCTAGTGCTCTACAAGGTACTGCTTTGCCAAATTGTTCTTTCAACATTTTAGCAGCCTTTTTCGGAAGAACTTTTTCTCGTTTTGCACCACATAGCAAAGTGTTCACAGTTATTGGCTGAGGGACAACTTCACTTTGGAAATTGTATCTTTCCCTCACTACCTTCACCAACTCGATATCTATGAGTTTCATTAGTGGGGATCTAAAGTAGCATTTGCAGCCACGTTCGCCATAAGCGATCCAACAAGTCCTCCGACTACACTTCCTACCAGGCCCCCAAAAAGCGGAATGGGAATAGCAGCTTGTCCAACGACCGCCCCCACAGAAGATCCTCCAAAATTTCCAAAACCAGTCATGACTCTCTTACCGGTGGCTTTGTTAAATTCTTCTCTGGTTATATTTCCCTTCTTCATGTCTTCGTGCGCGCATGAGATGTCATATACTGTGCTGATTCCTTCGAACAAGGCTCCACACGCTACTCCTAGGGCTGCAGAATTAGATACAGATTTTGTCGTGCTTTGAGTTAACACTTCCTTTGTTGTTGTGGTGGTGGTCACGCTGGATGCAGTTTTCACGGCCCCCTTTCCCACTGTTGAAACAGTTTCCTCGAGGACTTCCTTCGTCATTGTTTGAATTCCACTTTTAACGAACTTTTGTCCAGCACTTGAACCACTTTGGGTCATCATTTCCATCGATGCCATTCTGACTCCGGTCTTCACGAACTCTTGTCCAGCACTTGAACCACTTTGGGTCATCATTTCCATCGATGCCATTCTGACTCCGGTCTTCACGAACTCTTGTCCAGCACTTGAACCACTTTGGGTCATCATTTCCATCGATGCCATTCTGACTCCGGTCTTCACGAACTCTTGTCCAGCACTTGAACCACTTTGGGTCATCATTTCCATCGATGCCATTCTGACTCCGGTTCTCAGTGTCGCTTTTCCCACCGTGGACACCGTTTGACCCACCACTTGGTTCGATGTAATTGTAACTCCACTCTTCATGGCCTCTTTTCCCATCTTTGTTACAGTCTGGCTAACTATATTCTTTGTAACCACTCGAACTCCAGTCGTCACAGTTTGAGAAGATGTTGCCGTTTTGCCTAGGCACGCTGCAGCAAGTGCTCCACAATGTGCTTTGCCAAACTGCCCTTTCATCATATCTGCAGTTTTTTTCACCTGGTCGGAAGAACTTTCTCCAGTTTTGCACCACATAGCAAAGTATTCACAATTATTGATAAAGGGACTGTATTTCTTCTCACCAAGCTTACTCCTTGCTCTCTCAACAACAGTGGCAAGATCAAAACAATGTTCGTGTAACATCAAGTACACAACTTCACTTTGGAAATTGTATCTTCCCCTCACTACCTTCGCCAACTCGATATCTCTGAGTTTCCTTGGTGGAGAGCAGTTAGCGTTCAAAAACTCTTTGGCTGTATTGGAATATTCAATGACGTCTATTTCGTCTGTCTCCCCGTGGATACCTTCAACTATGGCATGATGCCAGTAGAAACCACTCATTTGATGGAATGAGATATGATCTCCAATCTGAAGCTCGTTAAGTGAATATACGCGTCTCCTGGGCACCTCGTACTTCCTGCCATGGCTGTTATACACTTGAGCATTGGCAGCCATGTCCTTGGGATTTATCTTGAATTCAAAGGAAAATCATAACTTAGAATACGCACGACTCGTAAGACAACAGTGGTAAACTTACTGCATTCAAGGAAGAAACCTTGTCTTGTAAATAACTCAAGGTACTCATGTGATAAGTGAACCCACGATTGGATTTCAAGACTTAAGAAGGAACTTTAACGTGTGAAAATAATGAAAAAACAACAAGCCGAATGATCACGTGTGGAATCACACCATGTCTCCTGACTAAAATAATTTGCATAAGAAGGAACCGCTGTTTGTTACGCCTAGCAACTACAGACTAGAATATCTGAGATATAAACTGAATTTAAATGTTTTTAACGTCATTATATATAATCTCTTTAGATTTCCGATTCGTTCCCAGATGCGTTGCCAAATTTTTAAAGCCAGTGCTACCAATCGCGACAGTACAAATCAGCAAGCGAAACAAAGCGCTTCAACTTGACATGATAACCCTTAGAAATCATACACTGCGATTATACATAACATGACTAACCATGACCTTGAGTATCCTTCACACGATCATCACGAGTTCTATGACGTCTTGTGCGCTGTTTTCGAAGATTCACTGAAAGCTTTTGGCCAATCAGAAAAGAGATAATGAGTTTAATGTACCGTATTTATTCACTTATAAGGCGCACTCGGTTACAAGACGCACCCTAAACTTTCGAAAACGATTTATTTCACATAAATACCCTGTTATAAGGCACACCCGGAATTACGTGAAATTTTGTTGACCACGTTCACTGTACTTACAACAATTTGCTTCCAAAGCTCTCATTCTCAAAACAAAAGCGAAAAAGTTACACATTACAATTAAACAATAGCAAAAAAGTCACACATGGAAAATAGCATAAAAGTCACACTTTTTAATTAACTCAAGTCATCCTTCTCAGGAAGACAGTGTTTTAAGTTATGAATACTAATTGCTCCGTTTTTACGTTTATAAACAATACTCATTTGACAGATCTTTCATTCATCAGTTGCAAAACTCGTCTTAATCTTCGAGCATTCGTTCAGCGTACCGTAAATTTTCAGTAATTAGGCCAAGCACTCGTCGTCATTCCTATGATCTAAACTTTTAGTTGAAGATCTTAGCAGAAGCGGAAGCCATGAACAACAACCGTGAAGTTGCTCGCGAATACGGCTTATCGGAATCGATGGTCCGTAAATGGAAAAATCAACAGCATGTCTTGTTCTTATGAGGTAGTTGCTATGGTGAAACAACTTGGTATTCCAACATGGTTTATGATGCTATCATGTGCTGATCTTAGATGGCCAGAACTATTCCAAATCATTGCCAAAATGCAAGGGAAAAAGATGACAAACGAGGAACTTGATGCATTGTCTTACAATGAAAGGTGCAAAATGCTGAGTAAAAATCCTGTTATAGTAGCTAAGCACCCTCAATATAGAGTGGAGACATTATTCAATGAAGTGTTACTTAGCAAAGCGAATCCGATTGGCAAAATAGTTTATTATGCACTACGTATAGAATTTCAGATGAGAGGTTCTCCCCATTTACATGCATTAATCTGGACTTCAGACTGTCCAAACTTAACTGATGACAACAAGCAGGCCTATATAGACTGCATAGATCAACATGTACAAGCCTACCTGCCAAGTGAGGAAGATGATCCTGAATTACACAATTTGGTGAAAACATATCAAAAGCATACCCATTCCAGATCCTGTAGAAAATATGAAAACATTCAGTGTTGATTCAATTTTGGTCAGTTTTTCACTAATACAACAATAGTAGCAGAACCACTGTCTGATGACCTGGATGAAGCAATTAAATCTGACTTGCTAGACAAGCGCAAGGAAACTCTATCTTTAGTTAAACAACAAATAGATGCAGTTTTAAATCCCAACAAGCCTAACTATGATTCCACATTAACTGAAGATGACATTTTTAATTCAGCAGGCATCAATAAGGAAGCATATTACTCTGTTCTTTCTATTTCACCTGATTCTAACTATGAACTACATCTTAAATGACCAGTAGACAGCTGTTTTATAAATAACTACTTTCTACTAAGAAAAATTGGGGCTGTATTTCTCTCAAGTTGTGAAGTTAGTTCATAAGAATGTGTGTATCACTGTATGCCTGAATTATGGTTGAGAAAGATTTTTCCAGCAACAGCATTTGTTAGAACAGATTTACCAGATAAAAGACTGAGAGTAACAAAATCAAAACAGAATCTTGAAGAGCTTGATGATGAGAGTACAGACATCTTTAAATCCAACGTTATTGAAAAGTATACAATAAGACCTTTGAATATACCAGCAGTCAATGACCTTTGTTTAACAGAGTTTGTTGCATATTATTACAAAGAGTATCAAAAAGAAAACAGTGAAACTATTGATGCTCAACCACAAGTTCTAACTGACAGTGAAATTGAAGCTCAACATTTGGATAATGACTCATTGCCAGATGCTATGAGGCTCATGAACACCAATGAAAAAATGAAACGAAGAAAAATTAAAGCAGTTATAAGATATCACAAACCTAACAAACATAAGGAACCTTAACTGTTTTTCCATCATTTATAAATGCTTTATTGGTAGTGATGACACTTATGTATCTAAATTTTATGAGCCCAATGTTGAAAATATTGTAGAACACAACAGAGAAATGTTTGAACCAGATGCAGA